GTGGTATTACATCTTGTAGGTCTCCAAGGAGCAAGATGAGGGCCGGTGAAGCAGCCTTTTGTTTCCATGGGTGAAGCCTGCCTTGCCCCTGTATAAGATATTTTGTCCTCCTATATCGAAATGATGAGTGGGGTGAAGGGTGTGCCATTCCTTCCCAAAAAGCTGCCTATTTCCATGTGGGGAGCTCTATGCATGCATTACAGTGCACCCAAGGACCCCCAGATAGTCATTCCAGGTCTGCTTGGGGAAGGAGAATTCTTTCTGCAGATGGAGCCTGGATGAGGTGAAGCTGCCTAGGAAGGGAAAAGCCCATGGAGTCAATTAACTTTCCTTTCCTGATTAATTTATTCTTTCCTAATCGGACATGCTGAGAATAAGCATAGCTACCCCCAAGATATCAAGACCTGGCCTTCTTTTCAGTTAATCACATGGGAATTAGAAATAGATCCACCGTGCCACTCTGAAAACAGGCAACTCAGTTCTCCCCGGGATAGAGGGTTGAATTGGATATTGTGGTAAAAGAAGGATTTAGTGCAGCAAATCTGTATAGGAGAGAAAATGGTCACTGCAGATGACATATGGCAACCCACCAAATGATGGAACACGTAACGCACACTCACCTTGGAAAACCATACCTGTGACAGCAGCAGAATGATGCTTCCAAGACTATCATCCAGCAGTTAGCCACATATTCACAGGTCAGCCAGAATCCTCTCCTGCTCTGTCCATATGGTGAACACCTCATTGTAAGAAAGAATGTACCATGATATGACAAAACACTTTGTATCATGAGTTTGTTTATGCCAGGGTTTGAACCCAGGGGTGCTTAACTACTGAGCCACATTCCCAGCCCTTTTTATTTTGAGACAGGGTCCCGCTAAGTTATTAGGGCCTCACTAATTTGCTGAGGCTGGGTTTGAACTTCTGATCCTCAGCCTCTTAAACTGCTGGGATTATAGGCGTGCACCGCAGCACCCACCTTCATGAGGTTTTATATAGAAATTGTGGGCTATTGAAATATCCATGACTAACGAAATTGTGTTTTAAAAATAAAAATAGTATGAACCCTGATATTCATTGAGATGTTAGCAAGAAGACAAGAGAATACCACCTAAATGTTCAGAAAAAAAGAGGTTTGATTAAATAAACTATGGAACGTCCACTTGATGAAATGTATGCCAGGAGTTGGTGAATGTTTCATATAAAGAGCCAGACAGTAAATATTTCAGACTTTGCAGGCCATAGGATTTCTGTCACAACTGCTCGTTTTGCTGTTGTAGCATGAAAGCAGCCATAGGCAATACAAAAATGAATGGATATGGCTGTGTTCCAATAAAACTTTACTTACAAAACAGGCAGTGGGCCAGATTGGGCTGGGAAGAAATAGTGTGTCAACCTCTAGTACCAACATTAAAACAATGATTGTGTGAAGTAACATTCAATGAAAAGTAATATGATGATTGTGAAGTAACATTCCATGTTTAATGAAAAAGAACACGATTAAAAAAAACTGCATATCCTTAAGAATTACAACCTGTGTATCTGTATATGTCTGTGTCTACGGAAAAGTCTAGAAAGAAAGCATACATACTAGTAGCTAGGTTGACAAGCCAGAGTTCAGGGTGATTTTCTTTTCCTTGCTCTGAGATAGATTTTCTCCGTCTTGGTATTCTTTCATATACATAATGCTGAATGTATAAATTAGATACAGATACTGACTCCTTCTGACCAGGCCTCTGTACCAAGAATGAAAAGGAGCATGGGTTATACTCATGCAATCTTCATTTGCACAATAGCCTTTTCTCCCCAAATCTTTCATCTTTACCTTTGGAGGTTTCCTTCCATTGGCCTAATACCACACAGGGGCAGGACATTTTTGTTGACCAGAGCTCAGCTGAGCCTATGACGACTATGTTGGTTGGTTTTTCTAGGGAAACCAGGCAGATCACTAAGCACTTAAGAATCTGCAGTGGGGAGAGGGGAAAAAAGGGATATTCTTTAAGAAGGAAAAAGAACAGTGCTAACTCTATATTACCCCTGAATCCTTCCGGTTAATAATTGAACATAAGCTACCATGAATTTGTGTATGAGACCACCTGCTTACAGGACTCTCTTGTTTTGTTTTGTTTTATTGAACTATGGGGTGGTCTCCATTAGTGGATTTCACTGGGTACAGATTTAGTCAAAACCATTATTATATTTAAATTTGTTGAGCTGGAGTTTTATAAGGGATTTATCCCCAGAGGAAATAGACTTGGTTTTGTATATGTGTTCATTTCAAAATACAGTGTCTTGTCTCATTAAATCCTAAAGAATGAAGGATTATAACAAAACAAAGCAGGCGCTGCTTTTATTAAGCAAGCCCAACAATGTGCTGTGAAGACGATGGGTTTTCTTTTCGTCCTTTGGGACTTCACAACTGAACCCGAGTTAATGTAAAGGGAAGATTTCTGAATGAGACAAACTTGAAAACAATATAACTTTTTTTTTTTAAAAAAAGAAGAAAACATAGTTTTTCTCTCTTTTTGTAGAATCTGATATTAAATGAGAGATCTTCTCTTTACTGCTTCAATCTGTTGGTTATTACAATGAAATAATTTCCCAAACTATATCTCTAGTTATCAGTTGTCATAGAAATAGTTGTGCTACATCCAAATTTCAGCATTAAAACTTTACAATAAAATCCATAGAGGGAAGAGTGCTTGGAGAAAAGTCTGTTTAATTTTAATCTGTATGCATCTGATAATCACCTCCAAGAGAATTGGTTGCCCTTCCTTTCCTCCACAGTTGATCTGATCTCTTTTCATGTAAATTGTTGGACCTAAGAAATTATCTCACTGCACAAACTGAGACAAAGACATTCAACCACCTGGCAATTTCAAAAGAAAAAGGCTTTAGGAAATAATGATAATTAATAAACATATTGAGGGCTTGCTCTGTGCCTATTACTGTTCTAAGGCCTTTATATATGTTAGTTTGTTCAATCTTTACAGTGACCCAAAGAATAGAAACTGATATTGGCCAATTTTACAGATGAAAAATAAGGTCAAGTGTTTTGCTTAAGATCACGATGTTACTAAATTTCTGAGCAAAGAATTAAACTCACTTTTCTGAGACTTTTGTTAACTAGCCCTCTATGCTGCCTAACCAAAAGCAAAGCTCTTGATGAGGAGCAGTGGGCGCTCCTAAGTACACCAAGGGAGAGTTCTCCCCAAAGAAGTTCTATTAAATGCAGAGGGAGGAAAGTAATTTTACATTGTTTGCAGAATGTGAAATTATTCTATGAAACCAAGGGCCATTGAGTTAACCAGGAGCTAAAGAGAAAGTGAAAATGAGAAAAACACGAACAGTTAGAAATGTCCAAGAACTTCAAGATCTTATACCCTGCTTCATTAAAGAAAAAAAGAAAGGAAAAAAAATCTTAAGGCTTTTATCATAAGAAAATGATCTGAAAGATGGAGGTAGAGACATACTGTCAGCTGGTAAAAGCATTTTAATAATTCCTCTTAGGAAACCGTGTGTGTGTGTGTGTGTGTGTGTGTGTACACACATGTGCCTATACACACATGAACATAGTCACCCTGAAGTGTCCAATATCTCTGGTTCAATAACAGACTATATAATATATAGTAGAATACAACATAGGCACATACTAGACTACATTTTTCTGATAGTTTAAAACATGTTAATTAATGAAATAAAAACATATTCTAATTAGCTTCCCTATTTATAGAACATATTACTGTAATATTTTATTAATGACTCAGGGTAATCATCAGAACATCATGTATTATTTTATTTTTAAATCCTGTTATATTCTAATAATCTATTCTAATTCTATTCTGCTTTAGGTCTTATCTGTAGGGGATCCTCTGCTCCTATATTACATGACATCAGACAACTTTTTGAAATCTAAAGCTGAAATTTTAGGGATAATTTATGCAGTGACCAGAAAATACCACATGCTGTGTAGTTACAAAGACCTAGGATTGACACTGACTGTGTATTCTTATGTAAGTCACTTAACTTTTATGAGCCCAAGTTTTCTCACTTATAAAATGGGAACATATTTTATGCCTTCCTAAAAGCACTGTTGAGAAGATTAAAAGGAAGCACCTTTCAGGGACCTGGGACTCAGGTCAGTGCTTAGTGAGTGGAAGTTGGTTTTATTATATCCTCTTCATTTTGTCAGCATCCTGATTTTCTACTAGTAGTGGCGGGTTTTACTCTACAGTAAAATGCCAATTCTTAATTAGCTGACTCGATTATTATGTGGGGACTGAGAAGTCAGATGACAGCTGATAAAGTACACTAGAAATATGCCCTTAGTACGAATAAATAAACTCTGCAAATAAAAGGCATAGTTTTCCTGAGATCAGTTTTGACTGCTTAAAAATCAGACTCCCTGCTCCTGAACTGTGTTCTGGGATCTTGAACAATGATGATAAACAGAATGCCTGGCATGCTGCGTTGAAAAGGATGATACATATGAGTCCTGGATCACTGTGAAGGAATGCAGTGATTAATTAGTAATGTCTCTTTTGTGCCAGGGAGGTGGGCAGGGTGAGGCATGTGGCACAGGTGCCACTAGGTTCTCAAGCTTTCCAAATTAGTTATCTTTATATAAATGAGATGTGTATACATGTGTGAATATATCTGTATGTAAATCCATATATGCGTTTATAAATCCATTGATGTGCCTATAAAATATTCACTTTATTGAAATGTCTGAATGCAGTGTGGATTCCAACATGACAGTTTTAAATTTCACTAACTACTCTTCTCAACAGTTACACCAGTGCTCTCTTGAGCATATTCCATTACATTTTGTTAAAACTTAAGTTATTTTAAAACGAATTAGTTCCGCACAGTTTGAAAGTTGAATCCCCACAAGATTACAAATCTCCTCTCCTGGTCTTCTTGTAGTACAGGCTTGGTCAGCATTTTAAGAGACCTGAACAGGTTTCTCCTTTAAATCCTCTCTTCTCTCTCTCTTTTAGGTCTGACTCTGGAACATCACATCCACTTCTGGGTCTCAGCATCCTCTGGGAAGGGGAACTGGGAGAAGGTGACGGTCTCTGAAGGGCTCTTTATAGTGGGAGGCATCTTTCACCTCACTCCAGCTTGGTTTGGTTCTGTCTGCCACGGGTGGCCTCTGTATTTGGCTAGTCCCTGAATGGCTTTGGGGGACAGGAGTCACCTTCCCCTCACTACTCCATTGCTGAACAGTAACTGTGTCAACCATTGTCTCCCACCACAGTTCTACACTTCCAAACCGCTCACCTGATAGGGCAGTCCTCACTTGATAGCACCTGGGCAGTACCATGGCTTCTGACTCATGCACTGGAGCCAAGGAGAAGTTCTTTTATATATCCCAGTGAGTAAAGTAGGTAGGAGTTTACTCCTATCTTTCCCCCAAGCACACTGCATTATGGGCCAGCTTGTGATCTACAGAGATCTCTGGGAAGAAGCCAAACCCTAAACTCCATGTTCACCCATGCCCTGAACTCCAGAGGATGCACTGAGTTCTCCCTCTTACTTCCCCTTCACTCTCTGTTCCATGCTCAGAGGAGAGCCCAGAGGAGACCCTTTAGGATTCTAGCTGAGAAGAAACATACAGTTGGGGTAGGAAGATGTTTGTCTCCCTTTATTGGGAATCCTTTAGTCTCCAAGTGATTCTTTTTTATCCTTCTTTATGTATTCCCTGGATACCAAAAGATGACATAAATCCAGTGTTTCCTCACCCCCACCCCACCACTCCACCCTTTGGATACCAAAATCTGGATGCTGACATCCCTTAAATAAATGTTATAGTTGCATATAACCTACACTCATCCTCCCATATTCCTCAAATCATCTTTAGATAATTAAATTATTAACAATCCCTAATTCTTATAATGTGGACCTAGAAAAGCACCCTGAAAAGCTTATGTTTTGAAAGTGAGATTTCCTAATGCAGGAAAGTTCAGAGATGTAGCTTTTAGGCAATGATGACAGCTGTAACCTTATCAATGGATTAATCTATTTGATGGATTAATAATTTGAATGAGTGATAATTATAGGCAGTTGTTGGAGGAAGTAAATCACTGAGGTCATGGCCTGAATTATGTCTGTTGATGGCCTCTTTCTCTCTCTGCTTGCCACATTCTGAGTGGCTTTCCTCCACCACACCCTTTCATCATGATGTTCTGCCTCACCTAGGGACCAGAGCAATGGAGTTGGCCATTTACAGACTGAACCTCTGAAACTATGATCCCAAATAAACTTTTCCTCTTCTTTTCAGGTATTTTGGTCACAGTGACAAAAAGCTAATACACTAATACAATGTAAGGGCTATGTAAAGAGTTGCTATAGTGTATAGTTTATAGTATAATGACAAGAAAAAAGTCTGTACATGTTCACTACAGATGCAATATATTTTAAAATATTTTTGATCTTCACTTGGCTAAATCCATTTGTGCAGAAGAAGCCTTGACTATGGAGGGCCTATATGTTGTATATGGTTTATATACAACTGTTGCTCTGCATTCTGGTGCTGGGGCAAACATCAGCAGCTCAGACAATCAGAAAGAAAAGGTAGACATAAAGTAGAGGGGACAAGAACGTGCATCAGTCTCTCACCACCTCTAAGTTTCCTATTTCTAAAATGGGGAGTATTGTAGAAGCTGGTGACCTTTGCCATGGACCACACATACATTTGTCATTGGAGCTCACTGAAAAAGGAGATCAGATGGGAACCTGAAGATCTGTGAGCTGGATTGCTGCCTTGTACTTGTAAAATCAGTTAAATATGCTTGAGTGGCACCTGAAACTGACTTTCTGAGAGAAAACATGGCTGCTGCTTCACTTCTGCCTTCTGATTCTCATGCAAAAGTCTCTGGTGGCCAATTGTCCCCTGAAGTACTAAGAAGGGAATTCTGGGAAACAGCTCCTGCTTAGCTAGGCTGACATACTATAAATATCCCACAAGGCCTGGGACTGCCAACTCTGGTGATTCCCGCAGTCTGTACTCACTTCTGGTCTTCTCATGTAAACTCTGACCCGGGTAGGAACTGGATGGTGGATAGTGACCGCAGGGCTAACCTCTTAGTGCTTCTGGATGGGATCAAGTGTAATTTTTGAGAATCGTTTTAAAAAGTTGTATGGGCTCCTTCATTCTGCCTATTCTCAGCTTTAGGTTCCAGTTACTAATTCTAAGTTCTACTCAATGACCCAGATTATGTAAGATTGCATTTTAAATAAATCTTCAGAAAGAAAAAGGATCAGTGCTAAATCATCCTAGTACAGGATTAGCTATGTAAGCACTTCTTTCTATCATCACCTGAAAATATTCACAAGTACAATAGCTAATTTTAAAGTATACATGACAATTTTACTAATTCAGATCTGTACCATAGATTGGAAAATCTAGGCCAGTGCTTTTAACATTGAGAGGAGTATAAAAATAATATCAAGTAGATCCTTATTTATCTTATCCATTTAATCCATTTCCTTTCTTAGAAATATCATTTGAAGTTAACATTTCACACTATTTTTAAGTTTGATTCTATTATAGTATTAAGGAAATCAAGATGCTTTCAATGAGATATTGTTACTAGGAAAACCATGAAAATGTAATATAGACTATATTGATTTATACATGCAATATCTAACTTGTAGAGTTTAGATTAGAAAGACACACACTCAGATTATAAGTGTAGATGTATAATTGTGAAACTTATGAAAAAGTTTATAAGATTAAATGAACTGCCTGTAAAATGTTCTACATTGACTTCTAAGTGATTTCCTGAATATGTTTCACTTATAATTGATGTTCCATTCACCTGCGTCCATCCACTACCAAAAAGTATTTGAGGCAGCTGATTTTCTAGATTTAACCTAATCCTATGCATAATTCAATATAAATAAACTATAAACTATGTATGATTTATTTTACTCTTTGACTAAAGCTGTGTAAATATTTTCTCTAAGTACTAAATATTTCTAAATCATGAAAAATATATTTAAATTCAAGGACTGATTATTGAAAGTAACCGGAAAGAAAATCAACTACACACACACACACACACACACACACTCTTAGAAAAAGGTACAGGAGGATACACTCCCAATTGTTGACAGCAATTCTCTCTGAAAAGATCGAGAATACAAAAGTAAGAAGGAGGTGCATAGTTGTGTATCAGGAGAGATGAAAATGGGCTTCTACTTGCAATTTTTACAAAGCATATGAACTGTTTTGAGTATGTATTCATGGAAACAAGATTTTAATTAAAACATAACAGATTTTAATTGTAAAAGGCATGGATACTGAATAAAAGTAAATTAAACATTCATAACACTGTATGCATATTAGTCATAATAATTAACTTTTCCATTTTTTGGCATGGAAAGATGTTTATCATATATTATTAAGTGTTAAGAATAAGGGTGCTAGGGCTGGGATTGTGACTCAGCAGTGGAGCGTAGGCTGGACCTGGGTTCAATACTCAGCACCACATAAAAATAAAGGCATTGTGTTGTGTCCATCTACACCTAAAAATAATAATAATAAAAAAAAAGAATAAGGGTGCTAAAAATCATGCTTGGGGGAGCTGCAATTTTGTAAGATATGTATCTACTGAGAACGTACATGTGGATTTTTGCATATGTGTATAGAGGAATTGCCACCAGGGTAACCCATACATTAAAAATTAGCATGATCATCCTAGGTAGAGAGAAATCTTTCTCCTCCTATGCTTCTGCTTTTTCTTCATCTTCTCCTTCCCATTGGCTACCTCCTTCTTCACTTTCTCCTTCTTCTCCTGTCCTTCTTTTTAGATATTTTCTCCTTCTTCTCTATGCTCACTTGTCTTTATTTCTTTAATTGCATTATTTCTCTTATAGTTTAAAAGCTATAAACATAAAAAAGGTGACAGGTAACTGACAATAATCATAATAGGATTTAGAGGATCCACTACATGCCAGTTATTTCATATACATAATTGCACTCAGTCCTTCCTACTCCCTCCACTTTGGGTCTTAAATGACCTGCAGATGTCCATGTGGTAAATAGAGGCTTGGTGCCCAGGATGGTGCTACTGACAAATGATGGGACCTTTCAGAGGAGGGGCCTAGTGAGTAGTTCTTAGGTCATTAGGGATGCGCCCTTTAGAGGATTGTGGGATTCTGGACCCTTTGTCTTTCTTTTTGCTCTCTAGATCCCAATGTAAATGGTTTTGCTCCACCATGAACGCCTGCCATGATGTCCTGCCTCATAGCAGGCCTAAAGCAATGGAGTCAATTGATCATGGAGTGTAATCTTCAAATCATGAGCCACAATAACCTTTTTTACATTCATGGGGGAAGAGGAGGGGACTAGGAAAGACAGTAGAATGAATTGAACATAACTTTCCTGTGTTCATATATGAATACACGAATAGTGTAACTCCATACCATGTTCAACTGCAAGAATGGGAAGTTAGACTCCAGGTATATATAATATGTCAAAATACATTCTACTGTCATGTATAACTAAAAAAGAACAAGTAAAAATTTTTAAAAAATAAGTTAATCATTTCAGTGCTTTGTTACGGTAATGTAAAGCTGACTAACACAGTACTAATTATTACCACTTTAATATTTATCTATTTATTTATTTTAGTTTTCAGCGGACACAACATCTTTGTATGTGGTGCTGAGGATCGAACCCGGGCCGCACGCATGCCAGGCGAGCGCGTTACTGCTTGAGCCACATCCCCAGCCCCTTATTACCACTTTATACATAGAAAAAAGTCCCCATAAGTCTTAGAAAGTGAGTGACTTGCTCAAGTTCTTACAGCTAGAAAAAGAAATAAAATCTATTGATCTTCAAAGCCCTGGCTCTTTCCTCTATATCACAAAAAGGGGTATTAAGACTTTTATAGTTATTTTTTAAATTTAGGAAAGTTAAGTGAAAAAATTGAAATTCAAGAGCCTATGAAATTCAGTATCATTTAAATAAGAATGTATGAAAGAGTACTTCCTATATGACTTTTTTTTTCACTAGTCTTTATGTTTTACTTGTTCCCTTGAAAAATTTTAAATTGGAAGTTTACCCATCATGTACATGCATAAACTTACCACATATTGTGTGGTATACACACACATACAAATACAAGACCAATAGACTGAGATGAACACCTTCATATTAAACAAGTAATCATCATAATACAAATAATAGAACACTTTTCATTTTTTAAAGAACTACATAAATTGGAAGGTAAGTGTAGATAGTATATGTGTACAATCCATATAAATATTAATGTATAATAATTAACATATATTAAATATATAATAAGGAAAAATTTATATATGAGTATATGATTTTTATATATAGAATTTTATATATTTACAAATCTCTATATATCCTTATACATCTATAATATATATATATATATATATATATATATATATATATATATATATATATATATTCATACATATAGCCTAAGGCAGATATTCAAAATGCTAATAATCTAAATAGACCTACAAAAGCCACAGCATCAGGAGAATGAACTTTAGAATTTCTTGCTCTGGAATATTTTCCATGGGGCAAAGTCTATTAGGTAAAAGAAAAGAGACAACACAATTTCACAAAAAATCATACTATAGTACCAAATAGGTTTCCAAGCACATGGGCTTAACATAGAACTTTGTCTATGCCCCATGCTGTCTTCCTTTGTATGCCTTCCAACCCTGCCTTCCAGACTTCACCTCAGATCTCCTCTATGCATTGAGCTAATCCTAATAGGCATTTGTTAAGGTTTAGATATTAGGTGTTCCCAAAAGCATCCTGCACAGGCAACGTAAATGGAGTTCCTCTCGGTGGAAAGGCTGGCTGGGAAATAAAAGCTAAGAAAAACAGAAGAACGAAAAAAAAACCACAGGACACAGAAAGTAGTTTCAAAAGCGGGGGCAGAACATGCAAGCTGATCAGACTGATGGAGCTTCCATATTCTGGCAAAATGGAGCCCTTGCTTGCTTTATTTATATCCAGGGACATCAAAGGCAAGGATTAAGGTTTCAAGGACAGAGCCTGGCTTCATGGTGTCTTGCAGTCAGCAGGTTGATTGACATCTTGGCAGGTCATACCCCATCTCAGGTGCTGTGTAGGATCTCTGGCAGAGCTTGAGGGGGGGGAAGTTCACCTGCATTAGGCAATCAATCCCCTTGAGGGTGCCACGGGAGGTTCCCAATGCCAGACTTATCCCCTCCTTAAACTACTATTGCAACATAGTCCACACACAGCCCACGGACAGCTCAATACTCATGTGTGAGACAATGCAAGAAAGTTCAGAGGTGAAATGATTGGTTTAACCTAATCAATGCATTAATCCTTTGACAGGGTAATTGGGTAGTAACTACAGGCATGTAAGGCATGTAGGGTGTGGCTGGAGGAGGTAAATATTGGGGGTATGCCTTTGGGGTATATATATTGTTCTTGGTGAGCAAGCACTCTCTATCTCTCTTTCCCTCTCTCTCTTTCTATCAGCCTCTGTCTCCCTTTCCCTCTCTCTTTCCTTCCTGCTGTAACTTCCTGAGCAGATTTCATCTGCCACACCTTTCTGCCATGATATGCTGCCTCACCTTGAGCCCCAAGGAATGGAGCTAGCCTTCTATGGACTGAGAGGTCTGAATCTGTGAACCCTCAAATAAACTTTTCCTCCTCTAAATGTTCTTGTCAGATCTTTTGGTCACAGCAGAAAAAGAAGAAAAAAAACTGACTAAAACAGCATTTCTTATTTTACATCTGGCATTTCCATCGTGTTATTATTAGCATGGGAAGCCACTGGTCTTTTCTGAACCAGCTTCTCTTTCCACCACCCTTTCAGGAGCTGGAGCAAAGCAGCTCACATCCACATCCTGAATCTCAGTCACATCTGCATTCATTGGCTGAACTCCAACCATGGTCCAGACTTACCTAATTCTAGTGATGTCAGAACAGAAGTAGTCTACACCCTCACCTGTTTCTCCTACTGTGTTATCTAAAATCATGATTCAATTATTCTTCATTTTTCACCTAAACCTGGTACATTTTCCCTTCTTCAGTGTTCTACATTTGAGGAATCTTTTCTGGCCAATACTAAACTTTCCAACTACTGCTCATGTCAAAAATTTCTTTTCTCTCTCCAAAAAGCACATCTTCTCTTATATCACCTATCAAGTATCCTTTCACTACACACCACAAAGATGAAGGTCATTTCTGAATAATAACAATATCCTTATCATGCATCAGGCATTTTTAAGGCAATTTATAGATTTTAATTTAATTTCTATAACATCATTTAGAGATTAGTGTGTTACTAGCCACAGTTGATAGACAAGGGGACTGAGGCACAAAATAATCGACATATTGCCCCAAGCTTCCACATCCTGTAAGTGGCAGAGGCAAGATTGAAGCCAAGTCAATCTGGGGTCAGGGTCTGTGTGCTCAGTAACTGCACTCCCTCCCTCTTCCAATCCCTGTTCTTGAACTCCTGATACTACATAGACGAATGCATATGCTGACTGTGTCACACACAAAAGGAATTGTGACAACCAGGTTATGTTCCTAAAGAAGAGGTCTCGAGTTGCTTCTCTCTCACCAAATTCATTCTGGATCCTTTGTCCTGGAACTTGACAATAAAAAATGTGAGTTGACTGCTACTAAAAACAAAGTCAAACAAACGAACCCAGTCCTTTGCTATTATCCTGCCTTGAATGGTAGATGTCTACTTGAAAAGTCATCTATTTGCTAATAAGGATAATCACAATACAGACTGGAAAGGGATTTTAAAAGTATGTGGTGAACTATCTATGTGCCATGCATTATTCTTGGTATATTCACCTGCATTAACTTACTTGATTCAAGAACATGAACAGGGAAAGCTGTGGCTATGAGAGGATAGAGATCTGGAGCCAATAATAGGAATGATATAGAAACATAATATTAAATTTAAGTGGGGAATTAATGCTCCCATTACTAACAGAAGGGAAAAATGACATTATACATCTATTGCCATTTAAAGATACTGAGCAGTCTAAAAAATCTGACCACTCAGTTATGAAATCTACAACAGACTGACCCTCAAATCACACCCGCTCTGTATTGTTTCACAAAAGACTTGAGTGAGGACATGGAGCAAAATACACAGTCCAAAGGTTTGACATGATCCATTTGATCTGATATCAAAGTGGTGCAACAGAATGTAGTTAATAAGATCAATACACAAAGGATGGGTTTCCCATGCTTGCTTTTAAAGATTATTTCATGCAAACCACTCGGCATTTCCATGGAAACATAAAGGGAACTCTGCAGTGAAGTGAGCAGGAGGTAATAGAGCAAAGGAAGAGAATTAGCAGCCTTGGTTACTGTTAATAATTACCTGGGTAGCAATTATTGCTTTTGGAAATTGGACAATCTTTTTAGCTGTCACTCATTTGTGACCTCACATACCACTTGGTTTGGAAACCAAAGAGTTGGGTTCATTTTATTTACATTCAGAAAGCCCCCTGCCAACCACCACCAATCCCAAGATATGTCAAAGTACCTTTTTTTTCTTTCTGATTTTGCTAGAAAGAGTACTCACATGAGAGAAAAAGCCCAATCTGTTTAGCTTTAAGGTATCTAATTTTTAAAATTGGCCCAGTCTTCAGCTCCTAGTGATTTTGTTCAGGCTTAGAGAAGAGATAGCCAAATGCCTAGAGAAGCAGCTGTTCCTCAAAAACAACCTGGAAAGGAAAACAATTGCTCCTCTGCCCCCCCTGCTCCCCACTAAAGGAAGGCAAATGGTTCAAAATCCTTGTCTTTTGGTTGTCTCTCTACTTAGGAATATATTTCCCAAAAAATTAAGGCCCTGTGGACATCCTAGAGCCATGGAACTTCTGTTCTGGGAAGGAACATGGTGCTCAGAAAGCTTTGCAAAAGAAAGAGTCAAAAAGGAAGACAGAACTAGTGAATCCAGCCTTTAATTAGTCGCATTTCCACGGAAACGCTTTCCCATTTTTCCAGTTGTCTCTGTAAATCAATTTAGAGCTACTTGGCTTAGGCTCCAGGCAGACAGAGTGGAATCACAGTCCTTCAAAGAGGTGTGAGTTTCTCTCATTTATCATCCCGGGGGCCGCTTGCTTCAAAGCCTAGTTGGAGGACTACTTAAAGAAAAACAAATCCAAACAAAATGGAACTGTGTCGTCTGGATTTGGTTGAAAATCTTGAGAATGCGAGGCAGAAAATTCCAAGCCCAGACCTGGAAAGCGATTTGCGAGAGACCTCACAAAGGGCTTAGAAAAAATAAACAATCCTGAAACTCACATCCACAAACACACATGCATACAAGCACAGGGACCGGAATAGAAATGTGAACTTTATTGGAACCCACATTTGGCACAGGAATTGGTTTCCTGGCTTTGGCCTTCAGCAGTAAGGCTACTACTGAATTTTTGACAAGACTGCCAAGCTTGACAGCCTTACTACATTCATTGGTTCCTACTCAGCCCAGTAAATATTTAAGCTCTCTATGGCTTTGAGAATGTGATTATGTGATTAGAATTCATGGATTCTCTGATAAAGAAAGACTGGATGTTTACAAATTTAGAAAGAATATGAAATGCACATTCATGGATATGTGTTTCCAGCTCTGAGGATGAGCCGGTCAC